GAGGCACCCTTATGCAGAGGTCCTGTGGAATTGACATGGCTTTCGTCGTGGGCCCCTAACCATGCTAGGTGAGCCCTGAAGGCTCAGTGCTCAACTTAACTGCCTAGTAGGAATGAGGCCGAAAGCCTTAAGACCCATTTGCATCGCCAGGGAGGGGTCCAGGGAAAAGGAACGATCCACAGAATGAAACAATGATAACTGCGGCCATATGTAACAAGCAAAGTCGGGGAATCATGGTAGGCATGTGAATACATACGTAGTTGTGTTAGATGCCGTCAGCATAGACGGGCACCTAGTGAGCACAGAAACAAACGAATCCCGAGTGTTCGAAGCTCTTTGCTGAAGGAAGCAAACAACATCTATTCTGTCTCCCTGCTTTTAAATGCCCTTTCAGTCGGTCTCTGATCTAAAAACTTCAACCTCCTTAAACGCGAAACGCTAGAACTCTCACATAGGTGCCTGAAAATTAGTGGGGTCTTGTACAGTATGCTATACTCAAAAGGAACCCTGAAGGAACGGTATCGGCCATTATCCCGACCCCTACATTTCTACCCAAAGCCCGAAAGCCTTGTGAATCCAATGGATCCCGTGCAATGTAGATTCCTTAAGAAACCTAACTGCCCCTCCAGTGCTACTCTTTGCCTCAGTGCCCAAGGGGATAAGTACATATATTCTCGCTTCAATGGATTTAACAGGACTCGGAAACAAAACAAAACAGTGTTCCACTGAACAACCTAGATGAATATCTCCGAGAAGCTTTGCCAATGCCCACGCGCAGTTCGAAAGTCCCTGCGTGCCGAACTCCAATACTCGCAGCAGTGCTTCCCCAGCCACGGCCTGCACCAGTCGCTGGTCACCTTTGGACTTTGGTTTTGAGAGAGGTCTGGGGACTTGGGCCTTTAGTCCTAGTATCGGCTTTTGGGCATCCCACCTAAACGAATGGTGGCAAAGCCCCAAACGGCATTGGACAACCCATGGCCATCCAACTCCGCAGCCCTCTTCGACAGCTGACCAGTGACGACTTCCTGCACTCGGGGCTGGGGCTGGTTTTGCTGTTTGACTGAGGGGTTTATCGCTTGCAGGGCTTGTTCATGCGCTGCGCTGAGTGGGCGCCCCACAACGCCCACACTCTAGTTTCGTTTGTGCTTGGAGCTTTGGGGGTGGATTGTACTCAGACTGGCCCGAAACCCTACTCCAGGGCTTTCAGTTCCGCAGTATTTCAAGGGGTGTGCGGCTGCTAATTCAGGGTCGGACAGCTTTGTGGATGGATGGTATGGCGGGACCCAAAGCAACTCTTGGGGCGGAGAAAAACTACTAACTGCTATGATATCGTGGTCTGAGTAGTTAGCCTTCTCGAACCCAATTCCCCAGTAGGCCCCCACATTATGATAGCACTACCTTCACAGTCTCAAAAAACCCAGATGGGAGTTTCCGAAAATAGGTGGTACCTTATTTTGGGCTCCTGATAATAAGGATCCTATTATTTAGGGTACTATATTAGGGTCCCCTATTTTCGGAAACCCCCAAATTCTTCTTCTTCAGGCACACTTCTTCGCGAAACCAGCCCCCCTAGACGCCGCCACCCCGTGAACGGCCTAGGCCTACACCCTGAATAAAGCCGTGATTCGCTTTCTAATCCAAACTTGAGCCTTGAACGTAAACGTCAGAAACCTAAACCCAGGCCGTTTAACCCGAAACCAGGACAGCCCTGACACCCCAGATCCGTGGGGTTTCTGTGTTTAGGGAAACTCTCACAGAGCCGGTCCATGACGGGAGCCGCGCTCATGCTCAGCTTGGCTAGAGCCCAGCAGGTTTTTGCCAGCTCCTTTGCTTCCAGCTGCGATCCCTCCTGGCACAAGCGGGCTCTGGTTAAGATTTCGAACTACCCTAAGTAGTATGGTAACTCACCTGCCTTCCTTGCAGTGCTAGCTGAATTTTAGTCTTAGTTCCTGATCAGGAACTCGACAATGCTTCAGACTCTTGGATCTGTATTTCTGCTGTCGTAAAGGCGACATTTAGAGTGTCTGGTTACCACATTGTCATATGAAGAGCTTGATTCCATGGCTTGTTAGACCTTCTGTGCCTGGTTTTCTTCGAATTCTGGAAAAAGGTATGGTAAGGTTTTGCGCAGGTTTTTAGGCTGTCGCGCAGGGATTCAGAATTCAGAATGGTTTTGACGTTGCTTCGGGGCGGTGTACTTTGTCCACCGATTTGGCCGAAGGCTGGGGTGCACCACCCTCCAGCTGACAAGTCTGTGTCGTTTTTTTTTTTTTGTTGGTTTTTTGCTTCCATGTTCTCTTACTGGAAAAAGTCGCTAGGTCGCTAGCGGTGGATCTTTAAAAAGGGCGGGAATTCGGCGTAGGCTTAGCTTCCGGATGCAGGGATGGAGGGCTTCTTGGCCCAAAGGAAGGTCTCTCCCTTACCTTTCTGCGTTTTTCAAAAAGACGGGACCTAGTATAAACCATAAGTCTTTGGATCCGCGTTAATACAAACAACCACATTCAAAAACGAGGCACCCAAGACACCTCCGTCAGAACTACGGTCAACATGACCACCTCGTAGTTGAACGAACCTTCGTCCGGGATTGGAGCACGAACACTTTGGGCTTCCTCCTTCGAAGTGCTGAAAACCTTGGATGGTATTCAGCAATACGGATGAGTAAGGATAACATTTTGTACTTATCGTTTTTCGCGAGTTCTTCCAAAGATTTTTGCGTGTATTCCGGGCAGTAGTGGGTAATTACAGTTTCAAGTATTCCGGCACGGTCGCTAGAGTTTGCGCGTCACGGTCGTTGCAGCTGGTGTTCACGGCTGCAGAGGATCCCAAACCCGATACCTTGCTGAGAGCCCCCACGTTTTTTCTGCGTTCTTGCGCAGGTGCGCTATACAGTGGCGTTCACGTCGTCAAGACAAGAGCCTAAACAACCTTAGCCGAGGAAAATCCCCTCACCGTCATCCCAGCACTCTCAATCCCAAACTTTGGTAGCCACTAGTCACAATGAGTCCTCCGTTCGAGTCCGGATTCAAGCCGATACCCGTTCTTGCATATCAGCCCTACGTGCTACGAAAGAGTTCCTAACTTAGCTAGAAACTCATGATCATGTTGGCCTCATGCACGATGCTGGTGACCTTGTCCACCAGAGCGTTCCTGGAGTCCGGCAGCAAGCACAGCATGCCAACAAATGGAGTAAGCGCGTAAACAGTCCAACAATGGGAACTTTAAGCCTTGGTCACACGGATGAGTTTTTCGAGCGGGTGGAACTTGAACGGGTCTAGACCGATATCGGGGCTGTTTACATCTGCACTGTCGAGATTTCGACTTAACCCGGGTACAAAATTATAGGGCGACTTCGGGCTGCAATCGCAATCCCGCGATCCAAATCATAGAAAATGAAAACCGAAACGCACACATTTACGGGAGAAGACAGGCCCGAAGACCAGATAAGGCGCAACGCCACCCGCAAACTCGTTTCTGCTTGCACCTCACCGCGGTCCATGCTGCGACCGACCTTGCAAACTCTAACCCAATCTTTACACATTCCACGTATTGCTGTATCACAAATGGCTCTCAGTATGCAAAGGAGCTTGACAAGACTTGCAAGAGAAGCTTCCATAAACGAAGGCAAAAGGTTGCCGCAAACTTAGGCTCAGGTGCTCGGTGCAACGCCATGATGGCGTTTACAGGATCGAAGTGGCCCAGGTGCTTGTCAGTCATTTGAAGAACTTCCCTTGCGGTCCATTTCGCCTTGTGCAATCAAGGCAGCTTTGATTCGCAAGCGTAACTCTGAAGACGGTCGTATGGAAGAGCAGGATACTTGTACGATATGAGTGAACGTGTGGTTGCAAGATGCAAAGAAATTACTACGATGCAACTTACGGTCAACACCGTCTGAAAGGCTCTAAATCTGAAGCCCTGGTCCCCGGCCGCCCTGAGACTGCCCAGTGGCTGCTAGATCTTTGTTCAGCCGGAGGCTCACTTTGTCTGCGGTGTTCGCGAAACCTCCCAGGGTCGCCGGACGAAATCGTCCTGCAGGGGGCTGAGGCAGCCAGACACCCCCCGGCAAAGAATTGGGACTTGGGGCATGAGATCAAGAATTGGGTCCCGAGGTCCTGGCATGGCTGAGCTCGCAGTGTGTCTGAATGAAAGCCGCCCACCAGGCGCACGACTTTGTGGTGACGCTTCGTTGGTCGACGGGGGAGGACATCGAGACAAGGCTGCTTCGTCCAAGAGCTGCGCATCTGTCAAGTGCTGACCGAGTCTACGTCGGCCCTCTTCCAGGTATCCTTCCATCAGGTAGGCGCTGATGCACTCATCCTCCAGCCCCTCCTCATCTTCCGAGTCAGTGGTCTGCTCCGGAATCCCAGCGTCTCCCCAATACCGTCCGGCCCCGTATGTCGTCTTCTGCAAAGCAGCTCCCCACATGCCACAGCCGGGCGCCTCTGCTCTTGCATCATTAGGGCTCTGGTGGTCCTCAGCTATTCCTCGTTGCCGGCGCGACAGCCGCTCTCGCTGTTTACCGGGTCTGCCCGGCTTATTCCGGTCTGTATGCAAAGGCAGGCAGCCGGGGACAAAGTATCGACATTTTTCACGAATGGAAGCGCACGAGAGAATGTGCCTAAGTGTGCTTCTTACACGTGTCTGCTCACAACTGGACATTCCTTAACATCTTGTGTGTGCATCGGTGTCGGGCAACAGAACTTTGAGCCAGCCACGCGGCTCGCTCTGGTTTCAAGATACCGGAAGTACATGCGATCGCTCCGCTCGCATGTGTCGACTTACATACAGCATGGTCATGGGCGAGCTGGCTACAGCTGGTCAGGCACTGACAAGCATTCATCTCCGCTTAAACTTCGCACTCGAGGAATCCGCGATTTGTTAGACAACTGCTTCTTGCCATTGCATGTGTTAAGAAGAGGGCGGCTTTTCAGAGCCATGAAGCAAGGGCTCTAAGACTCTAAGAATTCTTCGGACCCCGACCCTGAACCTCTGAGGGCTCCCGCTTCCTCATCGTTTGCGCTGGCAGCCAACACGAGGACATACAGCCGCAACACGGACTCTCCGTAGGAGGCCTCGTCTACTGCGGATTCTGCCCTGGAGGCCCAGGAATGTTGTAGCATCCATGAGTGTCTTGACAATTGTAATAGTCTGCGCTAGCAGAAGCCCAAAGACAAAGGCGTGAAGGCACTTTCCTCAACTTCCAATCCCCCAGCCGCGCCAAGAGATCTTCAATACCAAACACAGAGTGCATGAGTACCCGCACAATCTGCTATACCTAGCTTCTAGACGTGTTGTTTGCGGAGCTCACCAGACTGGAGACTTGCTCTTCGCACCTTCGTCTTGTCCAGCCACTCGTAAAGGCTGTGGTCCCAATACAGGAAGGCGACCACAAACTCCACCTTCGCACTTCTGAGTTTTGCGATTCAAACACCATGAAGCGTGTTTTCCTGGATCCGTGGTCTGCAGGCTAGACGAAACACCCAACAACCAGCAAACGGCATCTCGAAGCGTGTGGTTACTAGCAGATACTTGCAGTGTTTCATGCATATGGAAAGAGACAAAAACGAAGATTGCTACTTCTGTCAAGGCTGGCTTTCACACATGACGTTGAAGTCTGCATTCTTCCAAGGGTATGCTCTGTCTGTGGATGCCCCCTTTCCGATCTTTCGTAGTAGGAGCTCGGATTCTGTCTTGCCAACTCATATAGGGGCCGTGCTATTTGGAATCGGGTCTAGGTGTATGTCGTCGTAGCCAACTGATAGTGACGAGACTTGAGGTGCCTGGGAAACTTAAGACTGCCGTGGTTCTTCAGCTTGGGATTTCGGTCCTGTTGGGTGTAGGGGTCTGCGACATTTCGGCTTGAGTCAGTTGCGTTTGTGGGGTGTCGTTAGTGGCAACTACCGTTGCCAGCATTGCAGAGCGGCTGAACATAGGGAAATCCTGCTGGCTCTCGGTTGACGATACTGTTGATGAGCTTATGCTTCCCGGCCTCTCGTGTAAATATGGACAGCCGAACAGACACAACTTCAGCACAAAAAGCTGCAAAGGCATGCCCGCATGTGTATGTGCATGCAACTCGCGAAATGCATGATACATACATACATGCATACATACATTCATACATCTAAATGTAAACCGCTGTACAAACAAAAACACGTACACAGACACACAAACACAGACAGCGACACACACACACACACTCTCACACGCACGTGTACAGTTAGCCAGTCAGTCAAAGCACCAAATCAACAAGCAATCACGCATTCACAAAACACGACCAGTAAGTAAACCAAAACTCCAGTCGGCCAAGTGGACTGCGATGTATACTCAAGCGACAAGTTCGGCAAACACACATATATATATATATATATATGTATATGTATATATGTATATATATATATATATATATATGTATACCTATATGCGTGTTGAGTTGAATGCGCTCGACTCTTCCATCTGTCGGTGACGAGGTACGACGTGTTTCAGGGCGTTCAGCGCAGTTGGACGCCACTCTGCCGCCACCTTCGTTGGGTGCATGGAAACGGTAGAAATGAATGAACACGCAACACGGCAGGAGATAATGTATACTATCTCCTTCTAGCCCTTGTTTCGCTTTGCTAAACTATAACCCACGACCTCATTGAAATTGTTAAGGCCCCTGTATGATCATATTTTAAACCCCTATTCAAGAGATAACAGGTGCGGCAGCTTTCAGGCAGGAAACCAGGGCTGTAAGCACAGGGCCTGCAGGCGTATAAGCTCAGGAGTGCGAACTTGGACATGTTTTGAGAAGTAGAAACGAGGATACACGGTCCTGAATGATGATTCGACTGGGTTTTGCAGGTATATTACCATAGCTGTAGCGGGACTATAGGGGAGCCATACGGCTAATTATCCGGAGCCTGTAGTACCTCAGCCCTTATTTGCCGTATTCACATAGCGCTTAGCATAGCTTGGGCTTACGTGTACCACATACTCCACGCTTCGCACTCAAACCCTGACAGGGCAGCCACTGCGAACGTCAGACATAAGCCTTGCAGCCACAGCTCTCCAACCCACGGCCGCGACCCTGGAAACCGCAGCTCGTGTAAACACTAGATTTCACCACGGGGCCTTCGCTCCAGCAGATGCCACTTCTTGCCTTTCCGTCTCCGACTCCGAGGCTCGAGCTCGGTTTGGGCTTGGGGAGGTTCCGAGGTTTTCTGGGCCCCTCACGGACTGAGGGTCATGGGCGGGAGTTGACAGGATGAAGCAGAGTCTGTAGGTTGTCAAGCTGATGTTCAGCCCAAGCCTTGCGTATCTGCACATGTGTCAGGGTTTCAGGCAGGCCTCCAAACGCAAGAGAAAGAAGCCAACAAGGCTTGCAAACGTGCTTTCCACATGAAACGAAATCTCCTCTTGCAACACCAGCACCCTGTCGCGTTGACCGTCCGTGTACTGAGGTAGCGGTAGTGGTGGTCTTGTCGCAGCTGCTGCTGCTGCTGCACTCGTCTCAGTTGTCGGTTTCGTCGTCGTCCAAAGTCACCGCCAAGCCAGTGGTGCTAGAGGCACAACCGGCAGCAACGACGCGGAGCACTTTGATGTGGGGTGCATTCGGGTGCTAGTTAGGCTCATTGCAGCCGGGGTGCAAAAGCTCCTCTGCCCCGGTGAAGTGCGCCTGAGAGGGGGGCTTCCCAGGCGAAGGTGTAGGCAAAGGTTGGGTGGCAGGAAGCTTAGGCTTCGACATGCTTCGACACTAAACATTATGCCATTATGCTTCGAGCTGATTCCGGTGGAGACGCGAGTTTCCGTGGGTTTGTTTGAGCTTTGATGCTTCGGCCAAGACAAACTCAAGGTGGCGGCTGACTGTTCTGGGTTGCAACTTCGGAAACTGAAGAGAGACTCACAGGTCTAATTGACAAAGTGCCTGGCAACTGCCGCTTTCGGCCAAGATCTTTCTTGTGGACGGCTTCTGAGCTGCCATCTCTGCTCAGCCCGCTAGGAAAACTGTGCGCTCAGTCCAGCCCTGACTCTTTTTACCTTGGAAGAGCCCTCAGCCGGCTGACGAGGCCACACAGCCATCTTCAAAGCTCAAGCCTTTCACTCTCAGCTCCACTTCCCCTAGGCTGACGTTACGCGCTCCCACCTCTTCTCTTTACCACCTAGATTTTTCACCCAAGATAACTCAAGAAACGGGCAAGATTGCGGGTCATAGCAGAACGAGCCACAACACCGCAAAAGCCGACGCAGTACATCATGGAAACCAACATGCAATGCAACATGTAGCATACACTCAAGCAGTGCAACCCCAGGTGCACTCAGGATCGATCAGGAGAAGGCATTCACACGGCATGTAGCTAGGTCAGCTAGGTAGGTATTTATCTGGAGAACGTGGTCTAGTCCAGACTCTCTCCCGATCAGCCGATTCGGCTTGCATGTATAAAGGGATATGTCTACCCGACACGAAGGGTCTAACTGCCCTTTATGCACACAAATCGAGCTCCAAGGACCTAGGTCGTCTCGTATGAGCAAGGACGAGACTCTACCGCAAAATGGAAAGCCCCTAGCCCTGAAAGCCCCAACATGCGCATAGCCCCAAACCTCTGAATCCACGAAAAGCCAAGATCACACCAGTTGTCAGATTTGCTCTGGGCAATTTGGGCCTTCGTGGCTCTGACAAGGATGAGAAACCTAATCTTGACCGGACATGCTCAAGTCGATTCCCCTAAAGTATAGGGATTAGCATTGGGCTTGATAAGAACTCGTCGCGTATTTTGCGGTAAACCTAGTTCAACCATATACGACGTATAAACCTTACATACACATCTATATATATATATA